TTATTAGAGTTCAGAGCGCTTAAAATATCATGCGCCGGGCCTTGTTTGAAAACACGTCATCAACTTCCCCATAAATCCTCTTGAAAACTCTATCCACGCACGCACAAATTTTACTTTTTTATTTTTTATCTGTTCAATCTTCATCTCTTTGATAGTCTTAATTGAGAACACCTGCAAACGACTAATGATTAATATTTCAAAAAGTTTAAACTAAAGCCAAAGCTTCAGAGATGACATCAGATTTAATCGCGATAAAATCCCCGATAAACTCCCATTCATCTTCTTTATTTATATACACCTCTACACTTTTGAATCTCGACAAAGTATCTAGTAAATATTTTTTTTTCTTTTTTAACATATCATACCTATAGTTATAGATACTCTATAGATCGGAAAAATATATGGTAATCCTAATGAATGTTTAAATTCTTGGTTTCATTTCCGTTATACTTTCTACTTGATGGTCGATCGTCGTTTTATTTTAATCCTCTGATGTTACAAAAACCGATTGATAATTTAGGAGTTACTGACAATTTCAAGGTTAACTTGTCAAATTTTTGGGACGTATTATTGTCGCAAAAGTTGCGAAAAATTTTATTTAAAAAATTACATGAACAATTTCACTTAACATATCGCATATTATAAAAACATACTACACAAAAAAAAATGTTCTTGAATCAAGTATATAATTTTGAAGAGCTTAGTCTTTTTGATTTAAGTAGAAAAATTCTTGAACTAATAAATTTTTCTTGATTTAAGGAAATTTTACTTGATTCAAGAATTTTTCTCTCAAATCAAGTTAATTTTTTTATCAGTGTATTTTTTGATATTTTTATCACAATATACTTAATTTGGATACTTTTGAAGTAAGTTTTGGAAACAAAAGCCGAGTCATAAAATCAATTATCGAGAATTTAAATTAAAATTCGAAAATCTTAAAATTACAAGGAATTGAATATTATTCAACATAAAATTTAAATCATTAAAAAACACCAATTCAGGTCAATTTTTTAATACTGATCATTTTGCTCGTAAAAGATTATCGCATTATACATAAAAAAATATCAAGAAAGGTTACTAAAATTCTAAAGTAAGAATTTTAGATTTTAATGCAACGATAAAAATCATATTTTAATTATTGAGTCAAAACTTTTTACCCCGGAGTCCGATGAATTTTTTAAAAAACTAAATAGTGGCAAGAATCTGACTAAATTTTTTTTATTTAGTTTTTTCCGTGCAATTGTAAATTATAATTAAGGATAAAATGGCGGAAAACTAGTTCTATTAAGTTTTGCTGTTAATATATCTAGAAGCCTCTAGATATGGTACATTATACATTAACTAGATTGAATGTGCTCTTGCCTGGAGGATTTGGGCTCTACTCCAGGTTGATTATTTCTGCTGCACTATGGGTGTACTATATTCAATGATGATAAACAATCAGTGCGGATAGGTAGTATATCTCTATAGAGAGAGAGGGAGAGCCGTAAATAATCGAGTTGGGAATCATCTCGAGTAATTGCATATTCACCCTCGGGCAGCGTAAATGGACAAGATGGAATCACTAAGTTCAACGCTCAGATTAATACCTTGTGTGTGTTTCGATCTTGTCTTTATTGTTTGTAGAATTGTTGCCTCCAATTTTGATAATTACTGCTATGCATTTTAGAATGTATATTTTCTGTGAGAATATTTTTTTGATGAAGATCGTGATAGCGATTGACGGAATAGAGAATTGTTGGGAGAAATTTTATAAGTTCTGAAGAATAAAAAAGGTAATAAATGTCAAATTTATGTTTTATGAACAAAATAAATTAATTTCTATTTTATATTTTGGTCATTATAAATTTGGAGAAAGAATTTTAGCAATTTATTTAGCTTTCTGTAGTCGTCCCATTGAATGTTTTTTTTATAAAAAAAAAACATCAGTTATATAATTAACAATAAATTATTTGTTTTGTAAGTTAAAGATGTATTTCATTAAAAATTATTTCAAATTAAGGATTTTGAAAAAAAAAAATCAAAAATAAGTGATTAATACACTTATAAAAAATTAAGTTGATCAAAAAAAATTTTTTTGATTCAAAAATATCATTTTAAATAGTTTCATTATTTTTAATTAAGAAGAAAAATTAAATTAAATCAAATTTATTTGAACTAATAATATTTTATTGGTTTAAGAATTTTTCTGCTCGAATCAAAATGATCAAATTTTTCAAAATGATGTTTTTGATTCAAACAAATAATTTTTTTTAATCAAATTTATGTTAAAAATTTTTTTCTTGAATTAAATAAATTTTCTCTCCCACATGCACCACAGCCCCCAGAGCAACTACCACCACCATCACCACCATTCCCAGTATCACCACAACATGTCGTTAAGCTCCTCCATGTCCCACCTGGGCCATCATCATCTGAATTCCCCCAACGATATCGCATCCTCTCCCGGTGATTCTTCTGACACCTACATTCTCCCGGAGCAGAAGTACCAGGCGATGGTCTAGCGTCCGGTAGTCAAGACGTCTGATCTCTTCAACCTTCGCTTTCAATCAAATTCGTTCCAATCATCGTCATCCGCACTCAACATCAGCGATAATGATAATGACAACGGCGAAAATGATCATGATCATGATATTGACTCTTAGATTAAAGAGTTGCACGCGGATTAAAGATCTTGCTTAATTATGAAGTTTTGCAGGTGATCATAAAAGTTTGATTAAACATTTTTGATCTCGTTTTCGCGTTTTCAATCTCTTGAGGTTACATTGCCTGAGATCTTTGCTTTTTTCGTCTAGCAATGTATTCGCGGAAAAAATTTAACATCGAGATTATGTTTGGCAAAAATTTCTTTGAAACTTAAAACGCCGAGCCGGGTCTTAATGTTGAGTTTATTTTGGTGAGTCTGCTTTTTCTTTTTTTTCTTTTTGCAAGTAATTATTGCATTTTTAATATCCAATAGCTGCATATGAAGGCCAACTGAAAAATTTTAAGTTGAAATTTGAAGAGTTTCTTTGTCGTGAAGTGTGTAGAAAATTTTTGAGCCTAGAACTTAGTTCAAAAATTTTTCTGCATGATTTAAGACAAAAAATTATTAAAAATGATTATTTGGTGAGAATTAAACTGATTTTTTGTTAGTAAAGGATTTTTTGAACAATGATTACATAAAGTGACCTCTATTGACTTTGAATTGCGATGTAAAAAACTATCATTTTTGAATTTTGATTCTAAATCAATTTAAAATTTCCAAATTATGCAACTGATTTAAGTCACTCAAAAAAATCAGCCCCAAAATGTGAAACAATTTGACTTAATACTTGACACAAGCTCGTTGATGATACTTAGAAATGTGTATTAGGTTTTTTTTTTTCATGCAGACCGAAGGTGAAAACTCACATTTTGACCTAAATCAAAAATGATTATTCTAAACATTGCACTATACGAAGTGCTTATAAAGTGATATTGCCAAGTAAAAGTAACTTATATTACAAGGCGTTTTTGTTTCTAGTCATGAAACCCTCCAAATAATTTTTGTTAAATTAATTTCATGTTAAATTTTTTTCGTTGATTCTGAAAATTCTATTAGTGTTTTCACTTTTGATCTTTCAATGGTATCAAAGATTAAAAGTTAGATTGAAACTTTATGAACTAAATTTGTTGATAGCTATAAATTATTTTGAATTAAGGTAAAGTACCCAGTAGCTGTTCAGGAACCAGTACCTGCTCACTCCATGTATTTGTACATCTGCATTTGGGAATATAGATATATAAATACAAGGAGTGAGCAGGTACTGGTTCCTGAACAGCTACTGGGTACTTTACCTTAATTCAAAATAATTTATAGCTATCAACAAATTTAGTTCATAAAGTTTCAATCTAACTTTTAATCTTTGATACCATTGAAAGATCAAAAGTGAAAACACTAATAGAATTTTCAGAATCAACGAAAAAAATTTAACATGAAATTAATTTAACAAAAATTATTTGGAGGGTTTCATGACTAGAAACAAAAACGCCTTGTAATATAAGTTACTTTTACTTGGCAATATCACTTTATAAGCACTTCGTATAGTGCAATGTTTAGAATAATCATTTTTGATTTAGGTCAAAATGTGAGTTTTCACCTTCGGTCTGCATGAAAAAAAAAAAAACCTAATACACATTTCTAAGTATCATCAACGAGCTTGTGTCAAGTATTAAGTCAAATTGTTTCACATTTTGGGGCTGATTTTTTTGAGTGACTTAAATCAGTTGCATAATTTGGAAATTTTAAATTGATTTAGAATCAAAATTCAAAAATGATAGTTTTTTACATCGCAATTCAAAGTCAATAGAGGTCACTTTATGTAATCATTGTTCAAAAAATCCTTTACTAACAAAAAATCAGTTTAATTCTCACCAAATAATCATTTTTAATAATTTTTTGTCTTAAATCATGCAGAAAAATTTTTGAACTAAGTTCTAGGCTCAAAAATTTTCTACACACTTCACGACAAAGAAACTCTTCAAATTTCAACTTAAAATTTTTCAGTTGGCCTTCATATGCAGCTATTGGATATTAAAAATGCAATAATTACTTGCAAAAAGAAAAAAAAGAAAAAGCAGACTCACCAAAATAAACTCAACATTAAGACCCGGCTCGGCGTTTTAAGTTTCAAAGAAATTTTTGCCAAACATAATCTCGATGTTAAATTTTTTCCGCGAATACATTGCTAGACGAAAAAAGCAAAGATCTCAGGCAATGTAACCTCAAGAGATTGAAAACGCGAAAACGAGATCAAAAATGTTTAATCAAACTTTTATGATCACCTGCAAAACTTCATAATTAAGCAAGATCTTTAATCCGCGTGCAACTCTTTAATCTAAGAGTCAATATCATGATCATGATCATTTTCGCCGTTGTCATTATCATTATCGCTGATGTTGAGTGCGGATGACGATGATTGGAACGAATTTGATTGAAAGCGAAGGTTGAAGAGATCAGACGTCTTGACTACCGGACGCTAGACCATCGCCTGGTACTTCTGCTCCGGGAGAATGTAGGTGTCAGAAGAATCACCGGGAGAGGATGCGATATCGTTGGGGGAATTCAGATGATGATGGCCCAGGTGGGACATGGAGGAGCTTAACGACATGTTGTGGTGATACTGGGAATGGTGGTGATGGTGGTGGTAGTTGCTCTGGGGGCTGTGGTGCATGTGGGAGAGCTGCGTTTGGTAGTAGTTATCAGAATAATGGTTCTGGTAGCCATTATAGGCGGGCTGTCCCGCGTAGCACTGACCAGCGTTTCCTGGAGATGCCGAGCTCCAGAATCCATAGTCGCCATGGTGGATCTGGTTTATCGGCGGAGGATACGACGACGGAGGAAGCTGGCTGGACCCTGGAGTCAATGGAGGTGACGGAGTGGTCAAGGCGCTGCTGGCTCCACTGCCTCCAGTTGGAGTGGTGCCCAGGCGAGGGTAAACTGGCGTGTTGGTGGACATCAAAGGTGAGGAGTTTGACACTGGAGTCTCCTTGCCTCGTGGTGGTGACACTGGGGAAGCACGACGGTTCACTGGACCAGTTGTTGTCACGTTCGTCTGGTTGGAAGTCGGCTGAGCTTGGGGCTGGGGCTTGCTGCAGGCAGTCGTTGGCTGGGAAGACCTGGATGAAGTCTTGGGTGGTGTTGTTTGGGCTTGCTGGCCTTGAGCTTGTTGTTGCTGCTGTTGGAGTTGCTGGCGACACTTTGCCCGACGGTTTTTGAACCAGACCTGGAATATTAATTAATTTATTCGTTAGAGGAATTTTTTTTTAATTGATGATGAGAATATTCAAATTTATATCGATTATTCTTTATTTAGTTTTGGACAAAATAAAATTTTGGAACAATTGAGCTTTTGAGAATCTTATATATTGTACTGGAAGGAATGTGGCAAATTTTACTTGCAATTGTGATTATAATTAAGACTCTTTTTGAAATTATTTAAAAATCTGAACTAATTTTAAGCAATAAATAATGATTAAAAAAGAAAAAATTTTTGGTTGAAAATTTTTTGTATATTCCTAAAATATAAATAAAAATAATGGATAAAAACTATCTGTTGGTTTTTTTTATTGAACTGTAAACTATTCTAAATCTATGCCTTCACCTATAATAACTCCCTCTCAAAGTACATTATTTAGATATTATAAATTTGATGAAAGCAAGTTTCGATTTCGTCAAAGAAGATCCACTACCCAAAAACAGAAATCAGTCTAGTGTATTACTCAAAGTTAATCGTTGCAATAGGAAAGTAATCGCGGGCGGATGGGCGTAACATTTCATTGAATCCCGACAATAACATCTCGGGGAAGGAAATATAATGGAAATAAGGGTCCTAAGATACATACGCGCTCGATAATAATAAAAATAAAGTAGACACACGGATGGGAGTTGGGATGCGGTGGCGTTACAGTAACAACAAATAAAACATACTCTCGGGCCCCGGTAGCGTACACCAACCCCTCGGTACTATTGAATCCGTGCAAGCACATTCACACAAGCACACTTTGCCACTACACCGCTCCAGCTTAGAGCCAAGGGGACAAAAAACTTAAATTTCATCCCCTCGTACGCGTACGTATATCCTGAAACTTGTAGTCTACTCGTGCGCCCACCTCTCCGCCCAGTTGATTGTCAGTTTAATCCCTAAACAATGCGGCTAGGGCTGGGGTGCCATGATTCTATGCCTGCCCTCTGATTCTGCCTTTAAAAACCTATTCATTATCAAAAGATACTTTACTTTTCGAAAAAATTTTATGAAATTATCTATCTTTTTTGTGGGGTTCTACTTCGCACGACTTAGGTGGTAAGGTCGAGTTTTGCTGCTCAAATATTGAAAAATTTAATTTTAATTTTTTTTTCCTTTATTAAAAATGTTAACTAAAATTTTTCTACTCGATTTTAATTTTGAAACTCTACAAAATTAAATTAATTTTCCACCCGGAAAAAAAGAAATTGAACTTTTAAGAATTTTGTAAGATCATTTAAAAATTGTTAAATTAAATTAAAATATTTAAAAATCGATACTTAGAATTTTATTTAAAATTATAATTTTTTAATTTTTTTTTTCGAAGCTTATAATTTCAAAATTGCTCTCTTTCGCGCATCTCAAAATTAGCTATGTTAAATTTTCAAAAAATATTTTTAAATCTACAAAAATATAAATGTAAACCACAAAGCGATCGAAGGGTGCCCCAGGAGACAGCCCATTACCGGGGTGTGTTTACACAAGGACACCCCAAGCGGCGAGCAAACTAAAAGCCATCCCCGAAGTTTGAGCAGCAGAATCGACCCCATACACAAAAGTACGTGTATACTCGGCCCTTGGGTCCACATCTAGGTGCAAATTGCACCACCATCTGGTTTACTGTCTACACTCGGCAGCTCCTTATTATCGGGGTCTCAGTTCGCAGCTGCGTTGACATATTATGACAAATATGTTTGTTTTATCGCCGGGAATTGAAATATCAAAATTACAATAATTATTAATCCGACGGACAAACACTTTTTTGGTTTATCAAATTTATAAAATTATTGGAACTTGGAGCAGCTGCACGGGGTCTTTTTTTGATGCAATTTGGGCAAAGTTCAGGCCAAATATTAAATGAGATAAAATATGTAGTACGAAGTATCGATAAATACAAAAGTTGAGGTGAATTTTGTAGGGAGGATGTTCGGAGGGAGGGTTATAATCCGGGAACAAATCGACGGGCTGTGCTCGCGTTTCGCAGCTCGCCTTGTCTCACCCGGAACCAAGACTGGGGATGTTATTGGTCGCACATTGACACAGTAAAAGCCTGACATTCGTACACAAGGACCCTATTTTATAAAAGTGGGGCCGTTATCGCGTACACAGACACCCCTTTACTCCTTGTACCCATTCACGTCGGCTTAGCTCTGAAAGGGGGGTTCGGCTCTTTTGTCCCGTCGCCCGATGGCCGAACCTCCTGAGTTCTCGGGGCTTTAATCTCCCGCGAGGGTACGACCAAAAATCAGTTGTGGAAATAATTATTGGAAACCCGTGACTGGATTTTAATCCCCGTTTTTTTATAAATTTTTAGATAATGGAATTTTTTAGGGCTTCTAAATTTTTATGTTAAAAAAATTTTGTGTAGTTTGAGAAAAAATTTTTACCGTCCCCCATGAAAAAATTTTATCCAAAATATGCATTGAAGTACACAGTAAAAAATTTTGTGCCAAAAAACTTAGTGTTAAAAATTTTTGTGTTTAGTATTTAACACAATGTGTAAATTTAATGTAAATTTATTCTGTTAAATCAACACAAAAAAGTGTTAAATATTTAACATAAAAATTTTTAATACAAAATTTTTTGACGCAAATAAATTTTGACGTAAGAAATAAATTAAAATATATTTTCAATAACTAACTTCTTAAAAATTTTTATAAATTTGTTATACTTAATAAAAAAATTTTTGACAAATGACAAAATTAAAAAATACGATGAATTTAATACATTAAGTGACTTTGGGTTTATTGCACTCGAAAATTTGTTTATCCAAGTGACGGCGGGGCGTAAGTGGTAAGCAGGGGAGTAAGTAAAACACCAAAGTATAAAGTATATGTACTTGCGCATTACTATACCGCCCGTGGCGAATGGAGATGTTACAGGGACCGCAATAAAAGCGTCAACGAGTCTGCTCGCCGGCATCTATCAACAATGGAAAGACAAGGGAAAGAAATGAGGACTAGGGTGATTTTGACTTGTGTAAATACCTAAAATCTTGGTTGTGCTTGCGCGAGCACGAAGCTCTTCTGTTACTCTGATACAACAGTCGCTACACAATGCAATATGTCCTCGATATTATGTATATTATTATTATTTTTACTTATTATTATTCTACTTATATATTATTATTATCATCAAGTAAAAATGAATAATAAGTAATGATAGTCATAATAAAAATAAAAATTAAATAATAATAATAATAAGAAGAAGAATAAGAGAAAGAAAAAATAAAGTAATTGTATTTAGTAGGTCAAACATAGCCTCGTACTACTTGTCTGACTGCACCCGCGTATTACTACTGTCCATTATTTACCGTGCCTTAAAAATAACTATAGAGCTTAAAAATAAGTAAAAAGTTATTATTCACAAACCTGGACTCGTGATTCGGGCAGGCTTATTTTCATGGCAACTTCTTCGCGCATAAATATGTCGGGATATCTTGTTTTCGTGAATAATCCCTCGAGAACGTCTAATTGCGCTCTGCTGAACGTCGTGCGCTCTCGCCTTTGTTTTCGCTGAGTAACGCCTGAAAAATAATTAAATAAAATTTATTTATTTGCTATATATTATTTAATATTAAAAATAAACTAGTCAGTGAGTGGAGAGCCACGATAGCGTTATTTTAACGTGAGTCCCTTGTTATTATCGGGCCGATAGCTCGTTTCGGGACCGCTTAATCCGCTTAGGAAAAGGGGACGGCGATTGATATTGCGGGTGCCGTCGCTCAAGAAAATTCATGATCTATATAAATTATATATTAAATTGTTAAATTAAATACATCAGGGTGATAACAATTATTATTATTGAATAAAATCATTAATTTTTTTAAAGCAAATATCAATTTTTTATTAGATCAGAAATTTATTATATTTATTACAATTTTTTCTATCAATTGTTTCATTAATTTTTTGCTGAAAAAAATTAATCTAACTTTTTAAAAAAATTCGTAAACAAGAAAAATAATTTTGGAGAATTTTTTTGTCTTGAATTAAGCGATAAAATTTTTCAATTTAAAAAAATTTTACTTAATTCTAATAAATTAATTTCTAATAAAATTAATTTGAATCATTATAAAAAATATTTAATATCAATTTTGTAAAAAAATAAAATCTTTGACGTAAATCAACAAAACCAAAAATAAAACGACTTCGAAGCAGGCGAATCGAATGGAACCGGTACCAGAAGACCGTAGCCAAAGATTACCTCTCAAGTATACGGGAGGATAAATACAAGTATCCATTATCATTATTATTATTATTATTATTATTATTATTATTATTATTATTATTATTATTATTATTATTATATTTATATTTATAATATTATACGATTGCTAGAGTAGTGTAGCAGCAAACGGGAAAGAAACGTAGCTGCGATAAACGTGACGGGGTTTTGGCGTACTTGTAGCGCTACTACACAGCTACAGAAGCAGGCAATAGCAATGTTTACGGGTCGATCGATGCTCCCGGTTTCTGCGGCCATGTTGGTATTTCCCTCTCTACTTGCTTTCTGTCGTTCCTCTTTAACCTTACCGTACTACACTGTACTATATATATGATAATACCGTCCGCCCTCCGTACCGGTATAGGTATAGTTTGTGTTGCTCTCTATTTTTATCTCTACTTCTGGCTCTTTGTCCCGATCCTGAATCTTTCTCTTTTTTTTTTTATTTTTATTTTATTATTTTTCTTATATTGTAGAGCTACAAACAACGTTCTTCTCTTTATTTACTTATTTAGATACTGTAATTTTTTTTATTGCACTTCACTATACTATACTATACTACGCTTCGGAACAAAATCGAGAAGAATGATAAAAAAATATAACAAAAAAGACAGGAGTGCCAGCAGATTAAAAAAAACGATGAAGTAGATATCCGATCGATTTTTTGTTTGTTAATCGGCTGAAATTATCAATAACAATAAAACAATATCACTTGGAGGGATGAATAGCTTTGTTTTGGTTTTGTTGGCATGCGTGGGAAGAAGAAAGCGGAGGTCGATATAGACTTTCGATGATATAATAAAAAATAGAGATTGATGATGCATAGGCTTATTTATCTACGGATGGAGATGTAAATTGTAGATTTAGTAATGAACTGGTAATACTCATCGAGACTCCTGTTGTGTAATTTTTATTCCAGTCATCGTGGATCTATGATCCGCTGCCGTAGATCTAATCGGTATGTTGAGTATGGAATGCAAGATATAAAAGATGTGACAAGAAGAAAGAAGGACGAGTATATAGAGGCTTTATTTGTTATTATCTGAAGTCTACTGATTGCCGTGGGCGGTACAGTAGACTTTATTGAGAAACAAGCATCTTCAATCTCTTGTTATTTGTTAAGTATGGAGGCGTACCAAGAATCGGTGTGCTATACCTGGTGTGCTATTCTGATATCAGTGAGATAATAGAGCCTGTGTATTCTCAAGACTATCAGCCATTTTGTTAGAATTTAGGGAGTATTTTGGGCAAAGTAGTGTGCTTTTATGAACGAATTTTTAAAATTGTATTAATATGGAGTGGTTTTTGGAAATTTTGAGCTACTCGATGAATTATTTCAATTATGGCTAAAGAGGAGAGATATAATAAAATTGGTAAGGAACTTTTTTGGCGGAAATTTAATTTCTGATTAAAAATGTTAATTTGTTTTTATTGTATCTTTAATATTTAATCGATAAAATAAATGTTAAAGTTTAGCAAGACTATTTTTGTAAATTTATTGTAATTCTCGACAGTTTCAAAGTTTTCAAGGATCAAAATAATGAGAAAAAGAATTCTGAGTAGGATATAAAGGTTGAGAACAAAAGTAAAGTGATTGCGGGCGTGAAGGAACGCGACTTCTCACTTGGGTTACCCTAATGGCATAGCAAACACCCGCTGGGTAGCTGATGCTGATGTTGATGGGTAGTTTGAGTATGATTCGATTTATTATCACCGACGCGTGCTGGGGCCGGGGGCTGGTTCACTAGTGTAGTACATCACATCAGCAATAAGGGGTTGCCACCGGCTCATTGGCCCGCAACAAGATCAGACGCGACCCTATAATATCATCGAATTCGTTTTTAGTTTATTGGATTCCTTTTTATCCCGGGGAATTTAACAATCTCTTCTCTTGACTTTAACTTGGTGTTATTCGATCACACCCGTCGCTGAATTTTTTACTCTGCTAAAGTCGTACTCTAATTTTATAATCAAAAATTTTAAATAGAATTTTCAAAACTTTTTTTTCCTTGAAATTTTATACTTAACATTGAATAGAGAATTGAAATTGAAAAAAGAGCAAAGAGGAAAAAATCGAAAATTAATTAAAAGCTGAATCTTTCTGAAGCCAAATGGATTATTCGTAGCCTTGTAGCTCGGAGACACGTGGCGATGTGGTCCTTGCACACGTTTTTACTTCCCTTGACGAGGACACTCCATAAACCATAAACCAAAATATACATAAAGACCGCCGCGAGCTTTTTAAAGGGCCATCAGTTATAAAAACATTCATAGCTTCTGCTTTTAACACTTTTGTCCTAACCAATCGATTTATACTCTTCATTATTAATTTTCTTTATAGTGTCTCAAAAATTCCGATGTTTAAAAAAAATACAAAATATTTTTACAAAAAAAATTAATAAATTTTTTTGATATTGAAAAAAATTAATAAATTTTTTTGATATTGAAAAAAATTAATAAATTTTTTTGATATTAAAAAAAAATCAATAAATTTTTTTGATAAAAAAAAATTGATTAAATTGAAAAGAAAAAATTTTGAAACAAATTTTTCTTTAATTAAAGAATTTTTTATGGCAAATAATTCTTCAAAATAATTTTTTTCTTATTAAAAATTAAATTAATTTTTTCATCAATAAAATGTTTGCCCTAAATTAAGTAATGAAAAAATTTAATGATCAAATAATGAATACACTTGATTTGAAAGTAAAATTCTCAACAATAATATTTACGTTGTAAAATAAACATTTGCATCAGAAGAAAAATTCTCAGAGCCAAGTCTTAAGTCTGCCATGAATAATAAATAATAAATAATTTATGTTTATATTTATGTGGATGGATTACTTCAAAGATAATTTGAAAGACACAATAAACCTGTCGGTTTTAAAGAGCACCAATCACTCAATTAGGTATAAAGTTTTTTGAGTGGCGCGTGACTTGCACGTGCCAAGTGCCTATTGCCGAGGGTTGTTACTCACTGACCACCAAGTGAGAAATGGTGCCAAGAAAATGTGAGCCCTAAAGAGGCGTTACGTGTTTCAGGAAAATATAATATCGGGTACTAGCCTATAATAAATATTTAGTAACACAAGAGGGAAAAATCTCATACATATATCACGGTCCCCGATTCTTTTACCGAGCAGAGGGTGATAAAACAACTAAAAATGGTATCTATGTACGGCAAATATAGTTATATAAGTCTAGCCTAATTGTTGGGTAAACACTCGGCTTGAAATACCACTTGAAATAAATTAATTTATATTTGACTACTCATTTTTCGCTCTGTCTATTTTTGGAGTCAGTAATGTGTATTTTAGATATAAAGTGTATTAATTAACTGGAACTTTTATTTTGAGCCAAGTGCCAAATAGTTGTTAGTGGCTTGTACTTTTGGTAAATAAGAAAAAATTAAAGCCCGTGTAAAAGTATTATTTGCAAAGGTGCATATTGTAATGCGAAACTCATCCGATTATGTATTAGTCCCGGATGTTCACTGTATTTAGTTACTTTACCTCTCATCTTTCGCGTTAGATTATACTAAAAATGAAGGCCACCCATTTATTCGTGACGTGTTAACCAGAGATATGTTTTTTATTCTAAATTTTTTTAATAAAATTGCAGTGAAAATTAATTTTTTGTCAAAAATTTAATGAATAATCTTATAGTAAAATAAAAAAAAATTCAAGAATAGAAAATATTTTCTTAATTAAAAGAATTTTTTTTTATTTCTACACAGAAAAAAAAATTTACTTGAATCAAATAAATAATTTTGAAGAATTTCTTTTTGTTTTGAGTTGAAAAATTCTTAAACTAAGAAATATTTCTTGGTTTAAGTAAATTTTACTTGATTTAAGAATTTTTTGTCTTGATTCAAGACAAGAAACTTCTTCAAAATTATATTCTTGGTTCAAGAATTTTTTTCTTGAATCGTTAATTTTTTTTTCTGTGTAAATTTTTCTTTACTCAAAATTGTACTTGATTTAAAACAATGAAATTCTTTAAAATTAAATTTTTCTCTCGAAAAAGCATAATTGTAAATTGAATTATTATTATTATTTGAATTCTCATTATTCCTCCGGTACTTTTAGGCATGAAAGAACAACATGACAATGACTCGGGAGTTAAGTGGCTCGGTGATAGATACACTGTGACAACATAGATAGTGAAAATAAAATAAGCGAAACGAAACGGGAGAAAAGAGAATTACGACAAGTGATACTTTTCCCACGCGAACGAAACAAATCAATCTTTACTATATTATATATAAACATATACATCCACATTTATATTTACCTACTTTGTTTACATTCTACAAATTATTTCCATTCCTCAGTAAGTTATTCCGCAGAAAAAAAATACATATTTCTACTAATTTGAAATTCTTCCAAGTTTTTTTATTACTGCAATAATTATTATCATTATTACTATAAAAAAAAAAAATTAACTTTGAGAAATTTTACTTTGTTCGACGGAATTGCCGATTAGAAGATCCTAAAATTTTTGGAGCATCTTAAGCCGAATGAAACGAGGAGTAACCAAGTAAGCAACATGCATTGCGTATATAAGCAACATTATTATATATATATATATATATAGATGGATATAGCAAGGACAGCATCGAAAGAGAGTAGACCCAGCGACGAATGGATCGTCCATGTTTCCATGGAAACTCTCAGCGCGATACGCGTTGGTTGGTCCCGCACGGCCTGCCGCCACCCTGATAAGCGGCTTACTCTCGTTCTATATCTCTGTCTCTCTCTCTCTTACACACGAAAATACACTTACACATATATACACATCTACATATATAGATTACACAGAAGAGGTTTTTTCCTCTTTCTCACATTTTCAACGTCGCCGCCCTCCCGTCCTTCAATTCCCTTTAAAATAAAGCGACGCTGCTCTACTACGACCAATGCTCAATGCTTTTCCGACGAACGCTTTCCTAGAACGAATAACTAATGGCCGAAAAATATAAACCTGACTATTAATGGAAGACAATGATATCAGCTTGGATGCCACTCAAAATTATAATTGCATGCCTTAAGCGCGAAGCGCGCAGGTATGCTCTACTCTCGCCTAAAATTTATAATTATTGTTAGTTGTAAATATTTGTTACGAAACAATGTAACTCGATATATTTCTCAGAAAATTTTTAAACTCACGTAATATAAATAGAGGCTTAATTTGTGTAAGGTAAATTGTTTAGTACATGGTAAGGAAGCCGTATTTTGTGTATGGCTTCATTCAATACATTGATTTTACACGCTGGTCAATATATAACAGTAAAATGAGAAATTTTTTTAGTGAAAGTATTTTTAATCTTTTGAGGGATGAAAAGTTTTTTTTTTTAATTATTACTAAAATTGTTTTTTAATTGAAAAAATAGTTATTACACAGAAAGAATTTTAATATAAAATAAAAATTGTATTAAAATTCATAGGATGGTATAAATTGTATAGAGAATTTTTAACCCGAAAAATTTTATAGTTTCTGTCATGAATTATTGAAAACTACGAATTTTAAGGATAAAAGAATACAATTATGCGTATGTATTGTATATAAAAGTTAAGATTACACAGAATTTTAAATTTTCAAAGAATATTTGCAATCTAAAGGTTCAAATATTTTATTTATTCTTTTGAGAATTTTCATTGTGAAAAAATTAAAAGAAAATTTGAAAAACTATAAGTGCAATTTGTTAAAAATATTTTTTAACTCAATAAAAAATTTTTAAAAATACTTTCACTGTTAAAAAATTTTCAAAAATACACCCGATGTAAAATTAAAAAATAAAAAAAATTTATTTATTTAAAAAATTACTGACTCAAAAATTTTAGCCAATTATTGATGATAAAAATTTTGGGACTTACTAAAATTTCTGTTTAATGAATTGGAGTTACCTGCAATTGCAACTACCTAGACTTATGGATGGCAACAAAGCTATGTTCCTGAACAGAAGAGTCGGTTTTCAAGCTCTAAAAGTTTTCTTACAAACAAGGCTTGCCAGCAAATACTATTTTTACCTTTCTTTTAACCAAACTTTCTACAAATTTAACCCTGCTCTACCTTGCCCTATCTGCAACTCGGATATGAGGAAATCCAGCAAGTCCATGTTCAAGAGAATGCCCATGAGGATGCCCGTGTCCAGCTAGGGCAAACGGCGATAGACCAGGGTGTCCAGACCCTGGATGCCCATGCGAGTGAGAATGAGGGTGAGCTGAAACTCCCATGCCATGATGGGAGTGCGGATGGTATTGCGTGTTTCCAGTTGGGCATTGGGCACCTTGTTTCAAAAGATACCCCGCCATGTAAGCGCTTAAGCAAGCCAGGTTCGTAATAGGCTTCCCGCCTTTTTTGGATTGCTTGGAACAGGGATTTACAGGAGGCGGCTGCCAATATTGATCTTCTTCCGGTGGCGATGTTGAGGGGTCAAATGGCCACGCCACTGACTGGAGGTCCGGTATATTATCTTGATAGTACGAATACAGGTCAAGATAGTTCTCCACTTTGGTGTACTCCTGCTGAATTACAATTTCAATTAGTTATAATTATAGACAAATAAATATAAAAAAAAAATTATTAGTAATATATTTCAAGCAAATGAATAATTATCAACTGATACTTTGATTGACTTTCAAAAATAAAAAATTCTACAATGAATAAACCGGAAACTCATCCTGGAAAATCAAATACCTAATTTCAATATTGGAGATTTCTTTTTGTTAGAATATAACTGAACGTGAAATGCGAGAGTGACGTGCTTGGTCTCGTGTCGACGTCGGCTCGGTGACAATCACTGAATTAGCATTATTTTTTTTCCATTCTTGACAATAATATAATAATGAGATGAGGGTCCAAGGCGGTGTAACAGAAAGAACGAAAATGGAAAAGTAGAATGATTTTTCGGAAAAATTTAACCGAATAGTGCTGCATGTATGAATATATAGGGTATATACTCCACGCTAAATCGACCCACCCCCTCTTCCAATTCAAATCACGTGTTCAAGACATATTTTGATATTCAAAATTATAGCTCCAAAACTAAATTTTAGAATTGTTAAACAAATACTGATAAGAAATTAACGATTGGAGAAAAAAATATCTTGATATCAAGCAGAAAAATTCTTTAGAACATAAATTTTACTCCACGAATTTTTTTACTTTATTTAAGATGATGAAACTTCTTAAAATGATGTTCTTCGTCGAAGAATCCTTTTCTTGAACCAACTTAATTTTTTTATTAATAAAGAATCAAATTAAGTTCAAATTATCCGAGTTTCAAATTTATAGCTCCTAAATGTTCATGCAAAAATTTCAATAACTTTTCCAATTTTTTAATCAAGAAACTTAACAAATCAAAAGAAAAAATTTCGAAACATTGTCAAATGTCTTTTGAATAAGTATTTTTGAAGAGAAAATTTTTTTTTAGTCAAGACGAACGATCCTTGAACCAAGAACTTTGCTCAAGAATAAACCTATCATATCAGTACACCGCAATGTGTTTCGTGAGCGAACAAATCACGAAACAAAGAGCTTTGTAAAAATATGACCAAACTAAAAATGTCTGAACTTAAAAAGATTCAGTAAATTACACACCTCAAAAATAAATCGCTAAGTCTGAGATCGGCTCTCTATGAATCAGCAAGTCGTAAGCAATGTTTCGTGATAAGTCCGGCCACAACACAATTTTTACCGAAAACAATTGTTGGAACATGTCCTCGGATAATAAAATCGTATATTACTTCAAATATACGCGCAATTATTGCAAAGTTGTGTTGTACGGTACGAAGTTAAATTAAATTAATCACAATTTTCACACACTTACTTTGAACGCGTTATTTTGTTCCATTACCATCATTTTGAATAATTTAATTTGCTGTAAATAACAAATGCAAAAAATGAACTCGGTAAGTTATTTTGTTGAAGACAGTCATTTAAATTGAAGGTACCACGTTAAATATTTCGAGCCACAAAAAACGATACGTGTAAACGAATAGTCTCTAGCTAACTGATGCAGATCGTGTTTAGACCACCATACAAATCTTGAGGCCCTTTTATGTGGACGGACCTACTGTTGATTTCTATGAGTATAGATGTTTCTTGAAGTGTAGTGGGGGGACTCACACATTTACGCTCACAAATACATTCCTGGAGTAGGAGTATCAAAAAAAAACATTTACGTAGGCCCATTATGTAGCAAGTTACACTATTGGCTATTCTGTTAATTATTGTTGCTATTTTTGTGATACAGGTGTCTTAGAAGTATACTGCAAAATTGAAGTTTAGAATAGATGCACGTGCTTCTACTCACGCTGGAATTGACAATGCTTAAATGTATGAATATATTTATTTTATATAGATGCGTGTGCATGAAATATTATTTATTATTATTTTTTTTTTTGTGGAAATAAAAATAATGATAATAGTTAAAATGAGTTTAGCTTATATTATAGGCTGATGCTGATAAATTAATAAAATATATATTGATAGATATACGAGGAGAATGGAATGAAAAAAATGAAATAACTTTTGGAATGGCTATAAATGATGTGCGTGTTAGGCCAGTATTAATTCAGAGTTATGCCGACGTTAGTTAGCTACTGTTGAGCGGCATTCGTTAAGGAATTTTTATTTTTATGTATGAATATGTGGGTATTAAGATTGAACGGAATAAATTGAGAAAATTAATATGTTCATGTTTGGTATTTTATTTGAGATTTGGAGTATGGAAAATATTTTTTTAATTTGGAGTGTTTTAATTGATTATTTTGGTTAAATGTAATTTATCTGTTTATTTTTTTTTAATTTTAAAGGATTGAGATTTTTTTAATAGAATTAGGTCGGTTTTTCTCTAAACAGATTTTTTTTGGAGATTTCGGTAAGTGCGGATGAAAATTATGGATTATGGTATTTATATTAGACTAATCGCTGTTTGGTTTATACTTACAAGCGTATTATGACGGATTTTTGGTAAATTGCGTTCTGATTACTTTTAGTCAAATTTTAGTGTTTGATTTTTTTTTCATGAAATCTATCATGGAAAAAAAATTTAAATACAAACAACTCTTTTTTAATGATCGCTTAGTTTTTTTGGATTTAAATTCTATAAATTTTGATGGAAAATTTATTTATTGATATTTTTAACGAAATAAAGTAATATTTGTTAATTTTTTCAATATTAATTTTAAGTAAATTTTTATTTACAGAAAATTTTTTACTTCAAACTTTATTCGTAAAAATTCTCAAATATTTTGTATTTTCATTAGAAATTCAGAAAAAAATTTTCTTTATTTACCTAAAAGAAAAAAAAATAATAATAAACAGTTTTTGATTTTTTTAATATTATTTTAGAGAGATATTTCATTTTTAGAACATTTCTCCCTTAAATTTTTTAATAAAAATTCAGTTAAAAAAAAAATTTCTTTTACTTTAAAAAAAAAAAAGGAAACAATAAAGATAATGACAAATTTTAATAAATTATTAAATTTTCCAACGTTCGTAACTGAAGTAATTAAAAGCCACCCAACAAGTAATGCTTTGAATAGGTAATATGGATTCGTGAGAAGCCTGAAGAAGCATACAAATGTAACATCTGATGATTTTAACACGTTCTGGATCCATATGGAGTAAAAGTAATAAAATTTCGAGTACAGTTTACTCAACTGACGTTTTATCAAGTAGTCGTAGTTAATAAAAAATAAATAGCTTAATCTTTGACTCGAAACAGGATAAAAAATGTATTATCCGAGCTGTTGGTCAGAGCAGGATTAAAAATAAGGCTTTGAGCTCTCGTCTCATCTTAGCCCGAAGATCACACCCTAAAAATGTTGGTATAACATAATAATAAGTATAAGTATATGTACAAAGCAAATAAGAGAGCATAAGCGTAAAACAGTCGCGTGCTAAACCGGAAAGGGGAACACGTTAAAAAGCTCGGCTTATCCATCACCAAAAACTTAACATTACTACGTTAAACGGCTAAATAAACTGACTCCTTATATTATTCCAAAGACTTTTCCATATTTAACACTCTGTATGTATGTACATACGATACCTGCATTCTCATACATATGCGTATAGTAGTACTGTACTAAGTATACAGATATATAATAAACTCTAATAATACAGCGCGCTCATCCGGCTTATGTGTATTTTGTGAGTCAAGAAAATAATAACCTCTACACACCAGTTATTATAATACGCCTTACACATTACATCCTTAATACGTATCTATACACTATTAGACGTGCATTAAGCTAATAAATTGGTTACTTACAATACGTATTATCTGTCTTATGTACATAAACAAAGAAAATTAGTTTCTCTATTGCGATAGTATACGCAATTAAAAATTTTTTTTGTTGATATTTATATTTCAATACACGTAATTAAATTTTTTTATTATAATTAATATTAATGTTCCAAAAATTGTTAAATTTAAAATAAATATAATTGGAAATAAAAAAAAATTGATAAATTTTTCTTTCGTTAAATATAAATTTAAATAAAAAAAAAAAAATTTAACTCACCAAAAAAAAAAAGTTATAAATTAATAAGATTACTTTTTTAAAGATTCAACTTTTTTTTATTCAAAATTTTTGTTTTTAATCTTCATTAATATTTTTTAAATTAAAAAAAAAAAATTTCTTTGTAATTAGCATTTTTGATTTTTTTATATTAAATTTGTTTGCAAGCTCTCAAAATTTTTAGAGTATTTTTTTTCGATTTCAATTTTTTCTTTCGATTGAAAAAATGGATATACATCGACATAAATTGGAAAAAAAAAAATTTTTCAGATCTTGCAGATAGATAAAATAATTTTACCCACAGGTATTTAACAAGAAAAATAACTCAAAAATAAAACTTAAAATTCCACTATTTTCAAATAAATAAAGTAAATATACTTAGTTTTCTCCTAAGCTCGAGTCCTCTGTAATCCCCGAGCTTAGTAAAAACTCCGGTGTAAAGTCGGCAATAATAAGACTATCCATTGTAATGCAATAATAATTGGATACAATTAATTATATAAACAAAGAAATTTTAGTAATTTTAATAGACTAACATTAGTTTATCTCTCAGTCAATTTAAGCCTCATCCGGCGTAAGCGGATCGAGCACGGGCAAGCCGGCCTTTTAATGGTGCACACGGGATAGCCACCAGTTTCTATCTCTATCACTCTCGCGAGAGGCTAACAAGGAAGCCTATAACAAACATTATCCGCCATAATGCTCCCGTGTAAACATACCTACTCACGTGTGTCTCGATCCACAATCCTTCACTCGCTCGTTTGCCCTCACGCGTCAAACTCGACGCATTTTCAACTCTTTTCATCATTTACATTTATTACACTCAATTCATATTTTTTAACCCTCACCAAATTTACAAAATAAAAAAACTTTGCCGGAGAATTACTTTTACAGAATAAAAAGTTTGAAAATAAAAGACAAACATTTTTTTTATTAATTAATTAATTCCATTTTTCAAGACAAAATTTCTAAATTTGATGAGGAGCAATAAGGATATGGGTCCAGTTAAATTTTTATAATTGTCTCTTTAAAATTGAATTTCAATAGGTTATGGGCCTCGTGAAACTTTTTTTCAATTTTAATTCAATTTTTGAAATAAAAAAAAATTCTAGTTAATTTTTTTTTCGATCAAAAACATGTGAAAAATAAAACTTTTGCATGCCTTATTAAAATAAATAATGGTAACTATAGAACACGTTAAAAAAATTTTCTTATCGATTAAATAAGATTTCTCAGAAAAAAACTCGTTTTTCTGATGAATTAAATGAATAAGAGCGTGGTATTCACGGGAGCTATGGGCTTGATAACACCACAACTTTGTCAAAAATCACTTTCACGATTTAATTTTTTTTTTGTTTTATTCCTGAGGAAGTTTATCAAAACCCTTGTGAAAATTGCGTGTCAAAATAATTCCGTTTCGATACAGTTAATTTTTTTCGATTGTCAGTTCGGTGACTTTTTCTGCGATTTCAGCAGCCATATATATTATTTTTCATAAACAGAATTGAAATAACTATAAACAAGCAGAAACTATACATACATGATAGTATAATTACTAACTGCTTTATCATCTGTTAAAATTTTTTTTTAGTTCGACCGGCAGAGGGGATAATACTACTCGCGGGAAAATTCAAATTAAAAATGAATAATTTTCGTTATGATCTAAATAATTTATGTATGACATGAGCGCTTAAGGCATGCTCATTTGGATTTTCCAAACTTTTTTATCTTTACAATGTCTTAATATCCGACCAACCACAAGTCTTTTGAAAATTTATCTTATTGATAATAAAAGCAGGCCAATGTTTATATTTAAAGCTTGGCATAGTGACCAGAAAAATGAGGGTACCTATCGGAACAATGACACAATTCACACATTTTATCCAGGTCGAAATTAAACGAGACCAAATCTTATTTGCAAATAAAGTTAATAATGAGCATTTTGTTACTATTGAGAAAGATTCTGTACTTATCACCAGTCGTTTAAAACTTCAATAATCTCAAATTTTGACACCTGTAAATAGACCGCAATAAAATTTGAATGCTTAAAAAATGTACCATTGTTGAGTACAAACTATTAATAACTCAAGCCAAAACAGAGGATTAAATAATTACTTACATTGTTGACGCTAATTTTAAGCCCTTATCCTATTTTTCAATTCATAAACAATAAGAATAAAAGCAATAGTTGACTTTTATTGTTAATTGTTATTTTTTTGTTAAAGGGTATCACTTTTAATATTTGACGCCAGTAGGAACAATTGTCGAGACATTGTCTGAAAACTTGACGCCATAGGTAATCAATCAGGAGCCAGGCTATTGAGAGGACAGAAGGTTATTAGGAGGACAATAAATAAATGAGAATTGAACAGTAAATGGAAAGTCTGGTCAAAATAATTTTAAATGTTCGAACATGCAAAATTACTGTATAGGATACTACCCATAAAAATTATAATGCATTTTAGCATGAGATAATTTATAATCCTATTAGCAGTAAAAGATATAATCAGGGAGCCTTAATGTTGTCTAGACTAGACAAAGACTTAAGACGCCTCTACAATTCTTTACATAGTTGATTGTTGTTTCCATTCATAAAAATAAAAAAGGAAAAAGGGTAAGAAATGGTAATTGCGGGTTTTTCCCAACTAAAAATGTTGGACCTAACATTTTTATCAACGAGGGTCAAGGACCCATTCAAACTTGTTGCAATGAGTAGGATAAAATTTTTAGACTATGTGGGTATATTGTCACTTACTGTTTAAATAAGATAGTTGTGCGATAGCACCGGAGTTTGGGGCTCTCAGTAATTTTTAAGAAGTGCTATGAAAGGTTGGGAAATTTTGTAGATACTGTCGGGTCTAATGACAGTTCAGGTGCATTTAAAACTTGTTAAGTTGTTAGTGACTATTTTCTAAAAAGAGATTTAGATCTCATTCGCATATAGAATTCTATCCTGTTTTGTTTCATGCGTTTTTTTTTGTTATTTCATACTAATTTTGGGAAATTTTTCGTCTTTTTTTTTTTTTAGACGCGACAGCTTAATGACTTTCATTGAAAAAAGTCTATGGAATAATTATTTAATTACTTTGTAATTTTTTGAAGTAGGTCTTAATTTTTTTTGGTCGAAGATTTTTATTTGAATTTTGTCACCTAGAAGAATATTTTACTATTGTAAAATATAAAACATTTTTTTTCGATATGGTTGCATTATTTATTAATTTAAGTGAACTTTCTGTTTTAAAACTGCATATAAGAAAAATTTTATCGAAGCTTAATTTAATAATTTCTATAATTTTTATCAACTGAAATGAAATTTTTTTTCTAATATTTTTTTGAAAATTAAAACAAATTTATGTTAAATAAGGTAAGAGCCCCAGTAGCTGCTCATGTACCAGTACATGCACGGAAAAAAGAAAACTCGAAAAATTACATTATAAATAGTAATAAGTGTCTCGTCGTATTCAAAACTAAAAAAATTACAGTTCAAAATAACATTTTTTTAAATTCAAACTTTTCAAAAATTCATTTCAAAATATTAATGATATATTTTCATATTTTTCATCTAAATTATAAAAGTGGATTATGTTGAAATATCGCCACAAGAGGGCGCAAAGAATCATACACTTCTGAAGTGTCAATCTTAACACAAAATAAATGTTAAATAAATTTATTTATTTTCATCAACTGTTTGATGCTTATAACATAACCTAAGAAATCATTTTTTTTTTATTTCCTCAACTGCAGTAAATTATATTTATTTAAAAATGTTTTTTTTTTTATCATTTACATTTGAACGAAACATCAACAATTACCGACTATAAATAATTGGAAGGAAGAAAGTGTGAAAAATTTTTAATAATTAAATTAAAAAATAATTTATAGGTTTTAAAAGTGAAGCAGCAGAGTTATAAATTTATGAAAATGAAGTTAACCGACATTTTAAAACTTTTAGAAATTTTTTATTGAAAAAATTTAGATTTAACAATTAAAAAAAAAATGTCACATCTAAAAAACTTTAAAAACTAGAAGTGCAATTTTTTAGAAATATCTTTTTAGTTGTAATTTATGTAATAAAAAAAATTAAAAATTTTTAGACGTCTACTAACTTAAGTGTCATATAAATTTAATTGTCTTTATTATTTAATATTTATTATATTTTCGTGAAAATGTTTGCTGCGTAAAGTGAAGAAGTGATGTTATATTAATGGAGAATTTGACACAAACTTTGTGTTCATTCCCAAGTAACATACAAAATATGTTAATAAAGAGTATATAACACATTTTTTATGTTACAAAATAAAATGACACAAGCTTTGTGTTATTTTAACACACTACAATTTTTAACACAAACCGTTTTCGACACAAATACACAATATTTTTTACTGTGTACATTCTACAATGTAATTCTCATAAAATCTGTAATAATTACAATCTAAAACTGTAACTTTTCCAGTTTTCATCACGGAGCGCCACGTTACATTATATAATTTAATTTTTTTATTTTTCTTTTTTCCGTGTGCTCACTCCATGTATTTTTATGTATATATTCACAAATATAGGTATACAAATACATGAAGTGAGCATTCACTGGTACATGAGCAGCTACCGGGGCTTTTACCTTAAAAATAAAAATGTAAATTTCGTAAAATTACTTTATGAAAAAAATCTTTTTTTTTTCTTAATTTATTTATACACTGAGAAAAAAAATACTTTTACTCAATTAACAATTTCTTGGTTCAAGAAACTCGCTGACGATCAAATATTCTATTATTATTAATTATTAATTTCTGAAGAGAAGAGCGCATCAATATTTATCTTTGGATAATAGATAAACAAAAGAATAGCTTTATTTAAATTTAGTAAAAATTATTTCAATGAATTTAACAATTTCTTGCTAAGAATATATATTCTTAAAAATTTTCAAGAACATAAATTCTTGTATCAAGAAAATTTTCTTAATAAAAGTATTTTTTTTTTCTCAGGTGTAGAGTCGCATTAACTACATGCGGTCATGATGAGAGACTCCGGTATATTACAATAGATATTTTAAGTATTACATGTTAAGGGCGATAGAGCTTTACATTATATTTTATTGAAAATTTTTAGTGACTTTAGTTGGTTTATTTAGTCGATGTTGTTTAAATTTTCTGCTGGCTCCATTTGAACTTTGATGTGTGGGCATTTGGATATAATTTCGGTGTTCGATTGTAATGTCAGCATCGCATTGGGGACACTTGTTTATTGCACTTAGTGTTAGGATATGGCTATGTGTGAGACTTGAATAACTTAATAGTTCAAAAAAAATAAAGGAGTACAAATCTCAAACTAGCAATACGCATCTAACACCACCAATCATCACAATCAATCACTCACCATTGCTTATGAGCTCATTCTTATTCTCATAACAAACATAATAAATAAATTCTCATATAATATATAATTATCAAGGATCTGCGACCAAAGGTGAGCGCATGCGTATCTAAAAATCCTCCCATCTCGCAGACTCCGCCCTGAACTTTTCTCTTTTCTCCCGGATCACCCTCTTCGATTCCTTGAACAATTTAAACTACCACCAAATATCCACAAAACTATTTTTCTTCTTCCCCATAACTTAAAAATATTCCAATTGAATTCGCCTGAAAAACAGACCATAACTTAAGCCAAATCCAAAAATATTTTATAATCTCTAATTCAAGACCCCGATTGTCTGTCTTAGCTTATATTACTTAACAATAAATCCCCCATAAACATACGGCACGATCCAAAAAAATAAAGTAGCTCAGAGCTAAACCAAAATCCTGATAAATT